TCGACAAGTTTTTAATATTGCTGTAAGCGGTCTCTGTTAGACAGTGTATTCTCATTTACGCCAATGATTATTTTGAATAAATTGTATATTAACCCCGTCGAGTTTTAGTATTGCTGTAAGCGGCCTCTGTTGGACAGTGTATTCTCATTAACGCAAATGATTGTGTTGAATAAATTATATATTGACATTGTCGAGTTTTAGTATTGCTGTAAGCGGCCTCTGTTAAACAGTGAATTTTCATTGAAGCAAATGATTGTTTTGAATAATATCTATATTTACCTCGACAAGTTTTAGTATTGCTGTAAGCGGTTTCTGTTGGACAGTGTATTCGCATTTACGCCAATGATTGTTTTGAATAAATTGGTTATTAACCCCGTCGAGTTTTAGTATTGCTGTAAGCGGCCCTTGTTGGGAAGTGAATTTTCATAAGCACAAATGATTGTTTTGAGTAATATCTATATTAACCCGATTGAGTTTTAGTATTGCTGTTAGCGGCCTCTGTTGGGCAGTGTATTCTCATTAAACAAATGATTTTTTTGAATAATATCTATATTTACCTCGACAAGTTTTAGTATTGCTGTAAGCGGCCTCAGTTGGACAGTGTATTCTCATTTACGCAAATGATTGTGTTGAATAAATTGTATATTGACAATATTTACCTCGACAAGTTTTAGTATTGCTGTAAGCGGCCTCAGTTGGACAGTGTATTCTCATTAACGCAAATGATTGTGTTGAATAAATTATATATTGACATTGTCGAGTTTTAGTATTGCTGTTAGCGGCCTTTGTCGGGAAGTGAATTTTCATAAGCACAAATGATTGTTTTGAGTAATATCTATATTAACCCCATCGAGTTTTAGTATTGCTGTAAGCGGCCTCTGTTGGGCAGTGTATTCTCATTTACGCCAATGATTGTTTTGAATAAATTGTATATTAACCCCGTCGAGTTTTAGTATTGCTGTAAGCGGCCCTTGTTGGGAAGTGAATTTTCAGAAGCACAAATGATTTTTTTGAATAATATCTATATTTACCTCGACAAGTTTTAGTATTGCTGTAAGCGGCCTCAGTTGGACAGTGTATTCTCATTAACGCAAATGATTGTGTTGAATAAATTATATATTGACATTGTATATTAACCCCGTCGAGTTTTAGTATTGATGTAAGCTGCCCTTGTTGAAAAGTAAACTTTCATAAGCACAAATGATTGTTTTGAGTAATATCTATATTAACCCCATCGAGTTTTAGTATTGCTGTAAGCGGCCTCAGTTGGACAGTGTATTCTCATAACGCAAATGATTGTGTTGAATAAATTATATCTATAATATTCGCTTGTAAGAGCCGATCCGTGTCCCAACTTTTAGAACGAAAGATATCTAATGATATACACGCGGTATTCAATGAGAAATACTTTTATTACAAAAAGGCAAACAAACTGTTTAAGGGATGAATCAAGACTGAATATATGTTTTGCTTTTTGTTAAAATGTTTACTCAAATTACTAATAATGAGAATTCTATTACTAATACAGTCAATTTTATATTAGGGTTTGGGTTTTAAATAAGGATTACTAGTAAACTAGGTGCAATTTTAAAAATCTAATTCGGTACGATTGTGAGCACTTATGGGAAGCAACAGTTGGCTATTTTAAATTTCTTGATTAACAAAAATTGAGAAGTTTATCAAATAATTTAAAATAGCCAATTTTTGCTTCTCATAAGTGCTCACAATCGTACCTAATTAGATTTTTTAAATTGCACCTAGTTTACTAGTAATCCTTATTTAAGACCCAAACCCTAATATGAAATTGACTGTATATAATTTATTCCAAAAGTAATTATTTCTGTATTTAGTCATTTCAGACATTTTGATATGAATAGCGATCTATTTATCACAAGTTTATGTATTTATTGCAATTATTGCGTGAATCCATTGTGTTAAATGTATTGATTAAAATCAAGTAATTGTATAAAGTATGTAATTTATATTATATAAATAAATGTTCAATTATTAAATAAATATCAATTAAAACCTATTATAAATTATATAAAGTCAAATTACTATGAATTCAGTCGTTGGATTTGTTTAATAAATACAATACATGCATAACCTCCTAAGCATTTTATAAGTTATAAATTATAACATACATGTATACCCGTTCAAATGTCAAATTGTAGCCATTAGTACCATTTATGACCAAATTATAATAAATACTACACATATTATAAATTCAATCATTGTTTTAGTATTCAATGACCAAATATGTACCCAAAATTGGCACACAAAATGAGATAATAATAATAGGCCTGACTTTAGTGAATGATTGGAACCGATCGGGTGATTGTCAGCCGGTCTGCGAACGGCGGCGGACGGTTCCCAAACGATTCTTCAGTACAATGGGACGGATAGTGCCATCAGTGGTCACTTCAACACAAGCCGTGGCATTATTTCTGCCGCAATAGTTGAAGGCCGAGAAAACAGTGATCACTCGTCCGCCGGACGTCACTCGATAGCCGGTGTCGACGCACTCGTGGGCTCTCACCAGATATCGCAGACCATTGGCGTCGAGGAACTCCTGTACGGCTGCGGCCGTGTAGTAGAAACCGGTGCCGCGGATCCGATTACGGACGTCACTCTATAGCCGGTGTCGACGCACTCGTGGGCTCTCACCAGATATCGCAGACCATTGGCGTCGAGGAACTCCTGTACGGCTGCGGCCGTGTAGTAGAAACCGGTGCCGCGGATCCGATTCACAGCCCATCGCTGGCCCTTCGCTCGCATCGTCTCTTCGGTTCGTTCGGCCGAATAGCTGGACATCGACTCAATCGGATCGTTCCACAGGATCTCCTGAGCGGACGGCACTTCTTCGGGACTGATCAACGGCTTCGGGATGTGAGTCAACTCCGCCAAAGTGGTGGCCGATCGCGGGGGTCCGCCGTGACAGCAGAACACACTCTGGCCTACGATGGCTACGAGTGGCAGGCGATCGAAACACCGGTTGATCTGATCCCAAATGCGTTCGCCGACAACGAGTCCAAACTTCTTGCGGCACTCAATCCAGAAAGTGAACGATCGGTTCAAAAGCCTCACCTCATGGTTGCCCCTCAAGAGTGTGAACCGATGGGGTTCGGCGTCGCGTAAGGCCAGCAAATAGACGGCCACTTCCACCGAATGGTCGCCTCTGTCCACGTAATCGCCGAGGAATACGTAGCGCGCGCTCTGCAGCTGATCCAACCCGCTGTTCATCCAAAAGGAGCACTCGATGTCATACAGGTCTTTGACGTTGCCGTGAATGTCGCCGAAGAGATAACACGGCGTCCCGACCGACACGAGCGACGGCTCGGCGCTCAACCGATCGCAGACCCGTTGACAGAGAGCGGGTGTGACGGCAGCCACGTATCGGTTCAGTCGGGAACTAATCGCCCGCCGGTTCTCTCGAGTGATTCCAGGGATGAAATACTGTCCGCAGAATTCCCGCATTCGTTCCAATATAGCGCCCGAAGAGTTGTCCATTCAGTGAGACTCTTGTGTTTTGTGTGCCTTTTGTTGTCTTTACTCTTATCTTCGATTACTTATTGGCTTTTAATGTCTTTTAAGACAATCTGTTCTGTCCTTTACTGTCGATCGAAAACTTGTATAAATTATTTGATTTTTCTAACAATCAATTTATAGATAATTTTCAAAATTTAAATAAAACGCTTAAGTCTTATAACATAACTGTATTTAAACAATACATTCACTGATTGACAAATAATTTTAGATTCTGTGGTTTGAAAACGACTTTCAATTCATTGAGTGCTTATTAGTAATTAAATGTATGAAAACTTCTTGGATTCTTAACACTTAACAAAACTCTATTTATAAAATAGTTTAATCCAAATATCAAATTAACAAAATATTTATCGATTTGTAAATAATTAAGTTTTTATTATTACTCCATTAATTGAATGTTAACTAAAAATCTCATATTTGACGCTCTGTTTGGATTGAGTGCCGGCGCCGACAAAGACTCGGTGTCCGGCGGCCGACACTTTCACTCTAACGGTACCCGAAATGATACGCAAGTGTTGGCCAGTCTTCAGCTCGTATTCAAGTGAGTCGTCGTCTCCCGAGTCGTTGTCTAAATCGCAAACGATATCCGATTTCATAACATAAGTGCGACCGCAAAGACTGGCCACTCGTTCGCCGCCATTCAGAGTACACACCGTTTGATGACAATAGAGGAGACACAGAGTCGCCGAACCCGTTATGAAGAGGTCGTGAGCACCGGTCGGACCCCTATTGAGTTGTGTCAGAGCCACCGATGGCTGAGGAATGACGACATTGTTGTCGCGGCCAATGATCGGCCGCTTAAACACTTTGCGATTGTTATATACAATCCAAACGCTTCCGTACCGGTCGGACCCCTATTGAGTTGTGTCAGAGCCACCGATGGCTGAGGAATGACGACATCGTTGTCGCGGCCAATGATCGGCCGCTTAAACACTTTGCGATTGTTATATACAATCCAAACGCTTCCGTCTATTGTTCCGATTCCGCCGTAAATCTTATTCCTGTCGCTAATCCTCACGAACTCATTGGTCGACACTTTCGTTATAATCTGATTCATCGCTTCATGCGATTGTTATATACAATCCAAACGCTTCCGTCTATTGTTCCGATTCCGCCGTAAATCTTATTCCTGTCGCTAATCCTCACGAACTCATTGGTCGACACTTTCGTTATAATCTGATTCATCGCTTCCAACGACTGATCCTATCGTTCGTGTCGTCGAATCTCTTGAGCGCCAATGGATTCAACTCTTTCTCTCTTAAGCGCCGGTGAGAGTCACTCCTCTTCTCAACCCTTTACTACTTTAAAGTAGTTTAAAGTACTTTATATTCAATTCATTGTTGTTTTCAAAACAATAATTTTTGGTTTGAAAATAAATTATTTCTAAATTTTCATATTTTTTATATAAAAGTAAGCGATTGACAGAAACGGCAAAATTGAAACCAAAGAAGCAATAGATTTGTTCACAAGAGATGAGGTGTGGATACCATGTGTTGTGATGAATGCCCACATCCTTAGAGAGCAGAGATGTTCCGCACTTCAGGAGACACAACACAGGGTTTGGTCTAAACGGATGTTCGCTCACAAGTCCTACAGTCCTAGAGATGTCAACGAAGAGACACAACGAAGAGACATAACTTGGGATACAACTGACAATTGGCCACAAGAACTACACAAAGAACTGGACCGGACCTCAAACAAGTCTGGGCCTACAACTGGCCACAAGCCCTACACCCCTGGGCTGTCCCGGATCTCCAACAGGTCCGGGCCTACAACTTGCGATTGACCAGAAATCAAGCCATTAGTGGCGATCAAAATGTATGGCAAACAGACACAGGGATGGCTGCGGTCAAGTGGCGAGTAGTCACAATCCCTACACCCAAGGGAAGGCCCAGACCTCTAACAGGTCTGGGCCTATGGTTTGCTAACAAATGCAAAGACACGGGAACTGAGACCTCAATACTTTGGTCTCGACTACCATTTGGGTGAATGTCACACAACTAGGGTTGTGACACTTGGTAAATTACAATTTTACCGTGGTAATTTACGGTAATTTACATGTAAATTACCAAGTTTTCTGAATCTTACATGTAAATTACAACGTTCAAACACGTGACTTGTCAAAATATAAAAAACTTTTGATATTAGTCATATACAAAATTCAAATAACTAAATAATTATCAAAACTTTAATTTTAAAAATTAATCATTACTGGATTTATAATTAAAATTGATATAAATGAAATACTATAATGCCTTTATTATTAATAAATAACGAGAAAAATTGTTTTATTTATTATATTTGTTTCAAAATTATAAAAACTTTCCGAACTTAATTGTAATTCTTATAGTAGTTCTGTAGTTTTTAAATATATTACAAGCGATAACTATCGTAATTAGGTATATAATTAATATTCCATAAAGAACTGAACATTAATTTAATTTATTTGTGGAAAATTACCAATTTTACCGAATATTACCGTAAATTACCGAATATTACTTGTAATGTAAGATTGAAATGAATATTACCGGTAAAGTAACAACCCTACACACAACACAAGAAATGAGCGCACATTTTGGGAACAGTTACTCAATGGCTATCAATTGGGGCCAGAATTGGAAAGACTGGTAGTCGAGCGCATCCATTGGTCCCACACTTGGACTTGGAATTGAGATCTCGAACACTACATCTCAGGACATAGAGAGAGGGATAACGCAGTCCTGGCGTCCGAACAGACGGATCAATGAAAAGGTCGGCCAAATTGTGGGAACCGGTAGTCGAGCGCCTCTAACGACTGAAAATAACCTGAGAAGAGATGGCCGGACACAACACTTCGGGCCAACAGTCGAGCGCCTCTAACGACTGTAAACAACCTGAGAAGGGATAGCCTAACCCCACAACACCTGTGGTCGACAGTCGAGCGCCTCTAACGACTCTAAATAACCTGAGAAGGGGTGGAGTCCACCACCACATAAACAAGGAGGGCGGGCGGGCCGGGGGGCACACCATCGCCTCCCGGGGGTTCACTAACAATACTAACATTACTAACACTAACACCACTAACACTACTAACACTAACACCACTAACACTACAAATAAAAACACTTTAAATATAAAAATTCACTTCAATTTAAGAATTAAAACTTTACAAAATCCTAAGTTTAGTTTTGAAGCACAGAATATGTGTAAATGTTTGGACAGTTATATCGAACCCAATGTCCGAAAAGTGGTATATTTTGTAAAAAAAAACTTAACAAACTTTAGAAGTAATGTCCGAATAGGAAATGTCATAACAAATAGTTGAATGGTTTTAGTATTCATTTGTAAAATTGACTAAAAAATTAATGTTTATTATAATGAGTATTACATGAGTTACTGAACGCAATTAAACCTAACGATGCGATTAAACATTAACTCGTTTAGTGAATAGAGTAATCAACTATTGGTTATGATTTACAACCGTTTGAAACCAATTAAACCACTTATAGTTTGCAACAAAACATTCACATTACAGTCCAAACCAATGGTTCCCATTCCTCAGGGCTTTTAACCAATTGTTCATTAATTATAACGATTTCACAAAACATATAATTGCTTAAAATTATGCAAATATTTAACATTTCTATAATTAACATAACTATAAAATTCAATTAATATAATTGTATTTATTTTCAGTCATATAATCATTCAAATGAATAATAATTAATATCAATACATAGTATTATTTAAAATATTATTACAATATATTCGCAAACAATTGTCTATTGAATGCGAACATCATTAATAAATGACACTATTTTTAATACATATATCATAATTAACATATCGATTGTATTATTACTCGATTCACAACATATTTGATTTAAAAATTCATAAGATATCTGGTGTTGAGCTAAAACATGTTATAATTTTAAATAAAAGTAATAAACGTTATATAAAGTAAAAAAATTAATAATAAAATTACAATAAGTATTATTCACATTTTTTTAATCTATAATAAACTATTTAAAAGTAAAATATTGTAAAATTAATAAAACATTCGCTGCTATCTAACGGTGCGATTGTCTCACCTAATCGGCCGGTATTTCCATGTCTTCGCTGTCCTCGAGTGCCATCAAATGACCCTCTCTTGCGAACAAATCGCATTGATATAGAGTTACAGAAGACAAGTGTTTGATGGAAAGGGGAGTCGACTCATTGTCCGCCAGCAGTTCCAACACTTCCAAACCGTTCTCATTCTTCAGGAGTGGACAATAACGTTGACACTGGACTCGAGTCAGATTAGCCAACGTCCAGACCGACCAATACTGAGCCTCCGATGGTATGCTTGACTTTAATAGACGTAGAATCGATTCAAAAGATCTAAATTACAATCAATTAGCGAATAAAATAAGGAATTAAAGCAATTGAATAAATAAACATAATTGAAGAGCACCTGTAGTTGATATTGGCCTTGGAGTTGATCTTCCATCGGCTAATGGCGGCACTCAATTGATTCATATAATTGTCTCGAACGCTATCATACGGCCACTTCTCGCCGGCTGTGGACAGACATATCGTGCGTTAAAACAAATAAACGTCAAATGTATGGCTCACTAACCGATGTGAGAGAGAATTGCGGCCGCATTATAGCTCACTTCAATGCCGGCCGACTCGTTGTCCAACAGTTGCGCAAATCGTTTAATGAACCGAACGCTCATCAATTTTGACCGCAGTTTCTCCCATTCGGCGACGTTTGCCACCACTCCTGTCATATTCCTCAACAACTCTGTCATCAATTATATAGCAAATTGTAATAAAATACACACAAAAAACACTGCATAAGACATACGGGCGCTGTTGGGGAAGAAATCCAAACACCGCACGAAGTAAACCAATCCGTTTTGATGGAGAAAACGCTCGCAATTAACTTTAATAGTGGTTACGTTCCACAATATATGCCACGCCGTCTCCATTACTTCATCGCATATATTCCTCTGGAGTCTCGCATCGATTAATGACAGCATTTTGTCGATCGCCAAATGACCAACAATTGTCTTGTGGTGGCCGTTGACCCCACACACCAATGCGTTCAAGTACTTGAGGCCCACCGCCAGCAACGGGTTGTGCTCAATATTGATCACCATATATAACAAAATCTCCGTTAAACGCGACAATTCAAAGATCTGATCCAATAAAACATTTGTCAATTATATAAACAGTAAATGCGAGAGAGAGAGAGAGAGAGAGGGGGAGAGGGAGAGAGAGAGAGAGAGAGAGAGAGAGA